ATACCCGGTAACTCGAACTTGAGTTCCAATAATTCCATGAATAAATATTTACAATTTAACGAATGAACAAACAACGATAAATAATCCGACGATAAACTATTTCAGCGAGCACAACAAAATCGAACGATTATCATGAGTACGAACATAATAATAAGGAGGTTCTTAAAAGATTACCTGTCTTCGGGAATCTACGAACTATCGGAAAGGGGATCGGATGAACGGGACGAACGGAGGCTCGATGGAACTCAAACTCTGACCACGACGCTAATTGAACTTCTCATGAGCAGCGACTCTCTGAATTGGACACCGGTGAAGAGTTGTAGGTCGCCGGGGTTATTCGCCGGAATCAATGGACAGCGAAGCTTTGCCGGAGATTCTCAAATGGATTTGCGGGGCTGGTTTGTTCGTTGCTCGAGGTCGAACGAGAGCTTCTGACCGCGAGGATTCGCGAGAACACGACGACGGTGAGGATGTCCGCCGGAAACAATGATGAGCGAAGCTTTTCTGGCAAAAATTTTGCAGGCTTGCGATTTTAACAGAGAAGAGAAGATGGTGGGTTGAATGTTTCTCATGAAAGAACTGATCCTCGGTTGAGATATAGCAGTGACGGGTGAACGTGCGAAGGGATTTCTCCCAAAATATCGCAACCAAATATAATCCGTTGAAGGGAGAGAGGACCTGGTCGCTCGCGAGAAGATGATAGAAGCTGCGGCTTTTGGTTTTAATGGGCCAAGAAGAAAAAAAAAAAGAAATTTGGGCCTAAGGATTTATTCCATTGAACTGGGCTGGGAAAAATACACCCAATTGGCCTGGTTCTTACGACTTAAAATGGACCGAAATTAATATTGACTCGGGTCAAATGAATAAGTTCAAGGTTCGGGTTAGAATGGTTCGAAAACGAATCTGAACGGATGAAGAATTGGTTAACGCGATTACACCAAAAATTGCCGAATAATTAATCTAATTCAAAAAAATCCTAATAGTTCTAACCCATACATAACAATTTAAATCACCTAATATTCACATAAATAATAGTGTAAAGATCACATAATAATCACCTAAATTATATCACATAGCAATTTAAATAAATAAGCAGATAATTATGACAAATAGAGACGAGCAGTTAATAAAAGATAATGGAGCAAATAATATAAAACAAAGGCCATAATCAATTATAAAGCAAATAAATAATCACATAAAATCCATAAAAATTCTAATAAACGAACGGGGCGCTACAGTCTACCCACCTTAAAAGGAATTCCGTCCTCAGAATTCGAAGCTAAAAACATCTGTTGATATCATTTTCAGTAAACCAAGTTAAGTGACATTGATTAGCCGATTAAGATCAGTATGAGGATAAATAGAATTTGTACAAGTACGTGACGCTTCCACCGACTTCAAGACGACTACATGATGAGAGATTCAACAAGAACCGACATCTCCATTACTTAACCGATATCTCATGTCGGTCATCACATGTCGGTCACCACATGTCGGATACAACATATCGGTTATAACTGGGTGAACCGATATCTATAATGTGCCATCTCAGCATTGAAAGGCGGCGACAACTCAGCATAAATCATCATTACATTTGTCCAAGTGGCGAGCAATCAAGAGAAGTGGCTAAGAGCCGCCTTTGACCTTACAAATGTAATGATTACTGTACGGATAAATATTGTAAATAAATATGAAAGGAGAAAAACAATTCTCCAGAGAGACATACATACAATAATAATATTCACAGAGAAATTCCATCTACTTTTCAATATACACATTTCTGTTGATTTACCTTGAGTTTATTACAAACCCTTATCAATAAGATCGTTGTTAATTTTCATTTGACAACAGTTTGGCGCTAGAGGAAGGGCGGCTTATGTTTTTAAGTTAACTTTCGCCTTTAAGCCATTGTTGCATTCAAAAAACTATCATGTCGCAGTCTGGTCGAGATCATGTACCTCACCCTGGCCAGAGCCAATCGACTAACCATTCTCCACGGCGTACAACACCACCTCCTCCGGTCACGAATGTCACGAACTTTCTTCAAAATCCGGAGTTTATCCAAGGCTTAACTTCATTAATAGCTCGAGCCATGCCCAGGAACTCGAGTACGATACCGTTGTCGATGCCGTTAACTACTAACCCAACAGAACATCCAACCCACACTCATCATGATCATGAAACACATGTAGCGACATCACATGCTACGTCGCAGCCTCATCATACTTCTCCACGTCAAGAAGAGCAGGCTCATGTAATTGCTAATCCCGTAACGAACAATCAAGTCCCAGATAAACCTCCTGTGCAGGAGATGACTGCTGAAAGTCATTCTGCTCATCACCAGAGAGTTTCGCCACGTCCTAGACCCATTTCGTCAGCACCTCACGCTCGTGAAGATTTGCGACGCCAAATTGAACGGAATCGACTTTCAAGACACAGTGCAGAGGAAATTGAAACCCTTCTTAAACGTTTGGCTGAACTTGAGACGCGACAGAAGTCACAAGAAGACTCACCCCGACATGTCACGACGTCGGGAAATGTTATTGTAGAGGCGGATTCTCCTTTAGCCCCCGAACTTACTGCGGAGGCACTCCCTGTGAAAGTGAAAATTCCACAAATTGGCATGTATGATGGGACATCAGATCAAGATGCACATTTAGGCCATTATACGTCTTGGATGGATTTACATGGGGCTTCAGATGCTTTGAGGTGTCGGATGTTTTCACTTACACTGGGGCCACGAGCCCAAAAATGGTATTATACTCTCCCACTTCATTCGATTTGGAAATGGCAACAGTTACGTGCAGCCTTCCGATCACACTTTATCGGTGCTCAAATTTGTCTCATTCCGAAAGAATCGATTACCAACATTGTGCAAAAGGACGACGAGACTGTCAAAGACTACGTGGCTCGGTTCAACGACCGAATTCAGAACATGGAGCCCTGTCATCCTGAAACTTTGTTAGTAACTGCTATTGCTGGACTGAAGCCCAACTCAATGTTTCGTTGGACCTTGTGTCAAAATAAGCCTGCTACATTTCAAGAGTTTCTTGTACGAGCTCAACAATTCATTATTGCCGAAGAATCCATGTCGGTTCCCAGTTTCGACTTCTCGGTGAAGGAAAGCAAGGCTTAACCAGATGCTAAGAAGAAGAACAAGAAGAACTTTGGGAAAGCACAATTTTGGAACTCCTCTAAAGGATATGAAAATACTCCAGAGTCTCGGGCTGCTCGTGATCAGTATTCAGACAACGTCAGGACAGGTTATCATGCCGTTTATTCCGCCGAAGCAGCTACCATATATGAAGAACTGAAAGGAAAGGGAATTATACCAGACCCGAGGCCTGTGAGAACTCCTGAAGACAAGTTGGACAAAACTCGGTACTGTGCGTACCATAAGTCTCCAGGACACAATACCGATGAGTGTCTCGGTCTTTTGTCGGCACTCTTACGTTTAATCAGACAACCCCAGCTTCAAAAGTTTCGAAATTTTGATAACCGCCGGAAAGGAAGGCCTTTGGATCTTTCATACGATGAAGATGAGGATAACCGACCTGCTAACCAGAAAAGAGCTCGTGCAAACGATAAAGAGGTTTTTATGTTTTCTACTCATGTCGGAACCTCGACAGATAACCACAGGAAACCTAAGATACGTGATCCCGTAGATTCTTCACATTGTATACCTCGAGTCAACTCCAATAACAAACAGTTAGATACGTCTCGATGAAAAATCAAAGCCTATGCCCGGGAGGCACAGAATGCCGAGAAACGAGTCATGAATGTTGATCTTCGAGATACCATCAACAAACGGAATTGTCCTATCACGTTTAGTATCGAAGACGCTAATTTATTCGCTCATCCTCATTCCGATGCTCTTATCATAACCGCCCCGATTGGAGGGATCCCTGTTCATCGAATCTTGGTCGACACAGGAGCTTACTCAAGCATTTTGATGCTCCGCACCTTCAAGAAATTGGGTTTGGACCCTGCCGACATTAGGCCGTGTAACGACCAAATTCAAGGTTTCAATGGAAGCATTTCTTGCCCTGTTGGCGAAATATTGCTCCCTATTCGGTTTGGTGGCTTTGGACCGAAGTCCAAGATCATTATGGAAACTTTCAAAGTCTTGGATGTCCAGAACGAATATAATGCTGTAATAGGACGAACCGCACTTTATAAACTTCGTGCTGCTGTGTCAATTTTTCATTATGCCCTGAAGTTCCCCACCATTGAAGGAGAAGGCACTCATTACGGAGATCAACGAGAAGCCCGAAGTCTGATGTTGCTCTCAACCTCGCGCAGCTTTCATATGATGAAAGAACAAGATGCTAATAACTCCGTTGAGCCAAATAATTCAACTTCTGATGCTGAAAGAACTGATCAATTCATCCCGGATACCGACATGCCTCAAGCAGATACCGACTTGCCGCTTGTCGATACCGACATCCCTATGACGTCGGTTTTGCCTGAAACATCAACTAAAATCCTCGATCAAGAACAACCTTTTCATGAAGGAGACATAGAAATGCACGAAGATATGGACCCAAGGATGCAGTTCAAAGATGGAAGTCATCACGTCCGGGCGGAACCAGTTGAAGATATCAAAATCATTTACGTGGACGGATCGGCTCAGCAGAAATCGCTGCGCATTGGGGCCAACCTGCAAGAACCCATTCGGTCAAATCTGATTCAGTTTCTCCAGTCAAACGCTGATGTGTTCGCTTGGAAGCATGAAGACATGAAAGGGATTGACCCACAGAAAGCATGCCATCGTCTCAATTTGGACAGAACTGTCAAACCCGTTATTCAGAAACGCCGGAAATTCGGCCCAGATCGCCAGAAGGCCCTTGAAGAGGAAGTAAACAAGCTCATAGACAATAAATTTGTCAAAGAAGCCAAGTACCCGACGTGGATATCAAATCCTGTTTTGGTCAAGAAAGCCACCGGCCTTTGGCGTCTATGTATAGATTTTTCAGACTTGAATCAAGCATGCCCGAAAGATAGCTATCCCATTCCACACATAGATTACATGGTAGACGCTACGTCGGGACACCAACTTATGAGTTTTCTGGATGCCTATTTAGGCTATAATCAGATTCCCATCCATCCTGATGACGCTGAACATACCTCGTTCTATTCAGCTCGAGGCCTTTATTGCTATGTCATGATGACTTTTGGATTGAAGAATGCAGGGGCCATGTATCAGAGATTGGTAAATAAGATGTTTGCTCGCTTAATCGGCCATACAATGGAAGTTTATGTAGACGACATGTTAGTGAAGTCGGAACAGGCCTCTGACCACATCACCCATCTCTCCGAAGTCTTCGATATACTCCGTTAATATTCCATGGTGCTTAACCCCAAGAAGTGTACTTTCGGAGTTGGATCAGGGAAGTTTCTAGGATACATGGTGAGTCGGAGAGGGATCGAAGCCAATCCCGCCAAGATCCAAGCCATACTTGACCTAGCTCCCCCGACATCTCTCAAAGGTGTCAAAGCTTTAACTGGTCGACTGGCAGCCCTTAATCGGTTCATTTCAAAGTCTACGGATCATTGCAAGCCATTCTTTGACGCTATCAAAAAGAAGAAACTGTTAGAATGGACCACGGAATGCCAGAATGCTTTTGACAACATTAAAGAAGTTCTTTTACGATTACCGACATTGCAGAAGCCACTTCCTGATGAGCCTCTGTATTTGTACCTTGGTGTAAGTGACGTTGCCGTTAGTGCTGTTCTCATACGACAAGATGGGCTTCAACAGTTTCCGGTGTATTATGTTAGCAAGGCTTTACATGACGCTGAATTGCGATATCCGCATATGGAGAAGTTGGCCTATGCTCTGATCATCGCTGCACGGAAGTTGCGCCCATATTTTTTGGAGCATTCAATTGTTGTGTTTACGACATACCCTCTCCGACAAGTCCTTCACCGACCTGACACGTCGGGAAGAATGATTAAATGGGCGATAGAGTTGGGACAGTTTGATATCCAGTATCGACCACGAACCGCTATCAAAGCTCAAGTGCTGTCTGATTTCATTGCTGAATTTAATCCCACTGTCAACTCATCCATTGAAGATCCGACATGGACTCTCTACATTGACGGGTCGTCCACTGCTATACGAGCCGGAGGAGGGATTGTCTTAGTTAGTCCAGATCAACAAGTGTTTTGCTACTCTGTGGCATTTACCTTCCCAGCCACCAACAACGAAGCCGAGTACGAGGCCCTCTTATCAGGTTTACACTTCGCCGAGTCCATGAATATTTCCTCTCTCCGGATATTTTCCGACTCTCAGTTGTTAGTCAGCCATATTAATGGTACTTACGAAGTTAAAGAACCACGGTTGTTGCCTTATTTTGATCTCGTTAAAAAGAAGCTGGCACGGTTTAAAATGACGTTGGAGCATATATCTCGGTCATCTAATATTCAGGCAGATGCTCTTCCACGATTAGCCTCATCAACTGACTTGAATAATGTTGAGTTCGTGCAAATCACCCAACATGCGACCTCATCAACAGTCTCTACCGACGTCGTCATGGTTGACGCTGCCCCATTAACTTCAAATCCTACGTGGATGAGTCCGATCATTGATTATCTTCAAACCGGGACCTTACCTGAAGACCCTAAAGAAGCTCGTGCTCTTCGTGTTCGTGCTGCTCATTACACCATTGTTCAAGGAGCGTTATATAAGCGTGGATATTCTACTCCATTGCTTAAATGTTTGTCAGAGATTGACGCTCAATGAGTCCTTCAAGAAGTACACGAAGGAGTCTGCGGTACCCACCAGGGAGCTCAAACTTTATCTCACAAAATTCTCCGACAAGGCTACTACTGGCCTACCAATAGGAAAGATGCCACGGATTGGGTGCGGCAGTGCCACAAGTGCCAAATATTTGCTCCTAACGTTAACCAACATCCTGAACTCCTCAAATCGATATATAGTCCATGGCCGTTTGCAAAATGAGGAATTGATTTGATCGGCCCACTTCCAGCAGCGAAAGGGGGAGTTCGGTTTGCTATTTTAGCCGCCGATTATTTCACTAAGTGGGTTGAAGCCGAGCCCCTTGTAACCATCACGGAGCAAAAAATGGTGGATTTTGTATGGAAATCAGTCGTTTGTCGGTTTGGAATTCCGAACTCCATTATAACCGACAACGGTCGTCAATTTGAAGGCAAGCGATTGAAAGTTTTTGTGAAGATTACGGCATCAAGCATTTCTTCTCGTCACCTTATCACCCACAAGCTAATGGACAGATAGAAGCCGTAAACAAGATTATCAAGAATGGCCTGAAAACTCGACTTGAAGCTGCAAAAGGATCATGGCCTGATGAGTTGCCTTATGTCCTCTGGTCTTATCGGACGATGACGAGAAATTCCACTGGAGAAACTCCGTTTTCGTTAGCTTATGGAACTGAAGTTGTGATACTGGTTGAACTTGCCTCTCCGACATATGGGGTCACTCACTTCTCTGAAGAAACCAACTCAGCAAACTTGAAAGTCAGTCTTGATTTAGTCAACGAGTTACGCGCTGACGCCGAAATTCGCAATGTCGCTTATAAACGACGCAGTGAAAAGTACATAAATTCGAGACTCAAGCCACGCTCCTTTGTCAAAGGAGACCTTGTCCTGAAAAGAGTCACTGGGCCAATGTCGGCCCGTTACAACCGAAGTGGGAAGGACCCTTTAAAATAAATCGTCCGATTTCTAATGGCACCTACCGACTTGAGACGTTAGACGGTGTTCCCCTTCAATATCCCTGGCACACGACGTATCTGAAGAAATACTACCAGTAAACCTGATGGCCAAGGTTCTGTCCCTGACATGTAAAAAAGTTTTTGTCCTACTCCTGTACAAGAACCATGTTTTGCTATCAATAAAAATTGTGTGGCGAACTTCTATAATTTGTTCGATCACTCGGACCACAATAAATCGGTCCTCTTTGCTAAGGCTAAAGGTGTTTCATACCCTGAAGATGGTATGACCTAGCCAAACGCAGCAAAGCCGGATACTTCCAAGCCCAGAAGATGGTTTGGGGAGGCTTACGCTCTATAA